CCCCTAATTTTGAGCTGCTGTCCAAAGGGGAGAAGCCAGAAGGGTAAGGTCTGCCGTGTTCAGCAGCATCACGTCAGAAACTCTGAAACCTTCGATCCAAGGCGCGAACACTAATCACTAGGCCACTCCCTGTCCACAGCAAAACTGTAGAGTGTGTTGTTTTAATTCACCTTGTTGTAAAATTTGACACTCTATAACGATAGGTGAAATAATTTAGTATATATATATATAAACGGTAAGGGCTAAATTCACATTGTACTTCTTATTCCCTGAAGAAATAAATAAATAAAGACGAAAATTAATCTTGGACACAGCCATCTTGATTCGACGAGTATGCTCACTTTACGCATAGATCCTGAAATTTAACACCAATAATATATAGCTGTATCTAATGCACTAATAATATATAGCTGTATTCAATACACCAGTAATTTATAGCTGTATCTAATGCACCAATAACATATAGCTGTATTCAATACACCAGTAATTTATAGCTGTATCTAATGCACCAATAATATATAGCTGTATTCAATACACCAGTAATTTATAGCTGTATCTTATGCACCAATAACATATAGCTGTATTCAATACACCAGTAATTTATAGCTGTATCTAATGCACCAATAATATATAGCTGTATTCAATACACCAATAATTTATAGCTGTATCTAATGCACCAATAATTTATAGCTGTATTTAATAAACTAATAATGTATAGCAAGTGTAAAAAAAAACAAATAACCGTGAGTGTTAACGATTTGCTTGATTTTTTATATTTCGCGCAAAGCTACACGAGGTCTATGTGCCAGGCAGGAGTATTAATTCTAAAAACATATATTAAAGGCTGTATGGATTGAAAGTAGCTAGGTACTCTTATAATTAGTATGCGTTTGTTTGAGTGTATGTGTGTACAACATTCAGTAAACTCAAATGTTAGAAGGATTAATCTCTTTCCAAACCAAGTAGCTTGAAAATCAATAAGTCCTTTACGCATACAATTTATGTACAAAATAATTTCATACTCACAATATGTACCACATCTTTAGATGTACTTCATGATACAGACGGTTTAAAATTAATGGAAAAAGTCGTTCAGTATTTAAAACAATTTATTTCATTGCACTAGTTTTAATCACCATACTATGGTCAACAATATTGTTTATACAAGTGTTGAGAAAATACCGTGGTCTTATTTCTCTTAGGTCACCTGAATCATCATGGAAACACATTAAGACCGACAATAAGTTTTACTAAATCTTTCTATACTGGTCCTGTATTAGGGGTTTCCAGTAAGAAGAACATAATAGCATCTCGACCTCACACCTTGTGCTCCGCACAACGAAGCATTTCTGTTAATACCAGAACTCATCATTGGTGTGCGGTGAAGATATCATTACGTACTTCTTTCTGGAAACCCAAAGTTTAAGGCTAATAAAGAAAGATGTATTAGAAATTACTATCAGTCATTGTCATACAAACTACCGATCAATATATAACACTTCGTATGTGTTAAGTGTTATTTACTATAACACAAGACATATTGTAAACAACTGAAAAAAGTAACATTTCGATCGAAAATTGCGTGTTGTATTCCCAGCCGACCTGATGAGCTCTGGTATTAACCGTAAGGTCTCGTTGGTAGTGATGTGCGGAACACGATTTGAGAGGTATGGATGCTATCCGATTTCTTATTACTAGAAAACACGTATAGTATAGGGTCAGTATAGAAAGATTCGTTAAACATTACTACCAATCTTCTTATTGTGCTGTGATGTTAAACATTACTACCAATCTTCTTATTGTGCTGTGATGTTAAACATTACTACCAATCTTCTTATTGTGCTGTGATGTTAAACATTACTACCAATCTTCTTATTGTGCTGTGATGTTAAACATAACTACCAATCTTCTTATTGTGCTGTGATGTCACACCAATTATGGATCATTAATTTAATTAAGACCAGCAACAAAACCAGTAGAATTGTTTGTTTGTTTGAAGTTAAGCACAAAGCTATACAATGGGTTATCTGTGCTCTGTCCGCCACGGGTATCGAAACCCGCTTTCTTGCGTTGTAAGCACGGACAAGTAGAAACAAAATAAAACTTTATTCTAGACGTTTACATAAAAAATAAATAACCGTTTTTAAAATGCAGTTACGTCCGAATTTCCAATACAAAATAATCAGTTTCATCCCAATCTTCGGGTTATGATTGTAAGTCCATATACAAAGAGCCTTAAGATGTGTAATACTGGATGAAATATATTGGTTACATTATGATATAAGGAGTTGAGATTTATAATAAAAAATAGCTTCAATATTGACAAACATTTCCTACAACAGTTTTATATAAACTTGAAGGTTTATTATTTTTATTACAACTTAATAAAAGATTTTGTTCTGGCGTCAGTAACGTCTCTCCATATTCTGTTCCGACGCCAAATAACGACTTTATATATCATGTTCTGGCGCCAAGTAACGTCTCTCTATATTCTGTTCCGACGCCAAATAACGACTTTATATATCATGTTCTGGCGCCAAGTAACGTCTCTCTATATTCTGTTCCGACGCCAAATAACGACTTTATATATTATGTTCTGGCGCCAAGTAATCTATTTCTATATGTTGTTCTGGCGCCAAGTAATGTATTTTTATATTCTGTTCTAGCGCCAAATAATGTATTTCTATATGCTGTTCTGGAGTCAAGTTTTATATTTCTGTATTCTATTCTGGCGCCAACTGGCGTCTGTTTATGCTGTTCTAGCGTCAAGTTTTGCATTTCTATATTCTGTTCTGTTGCCAATTAACGTCTCTATACGCTGTTCTGGCACCAAGAACAAACAGCGATAATTCACTAACTATCTCATGACTCAGTTTATTAAGCTTATGGCAGGGTATTTATTCACTGTTTAGATCACGAGAGTACATCTCAGGCGATAATAAATTTACATAATATTTTGCTACATTAATAATATCTGTACGTCACCGATAGGTGTCAGTCTCATAATTCATAGAAACTTAAAATAAACGTGGTCAGCTAGAAGGTGAGTTAGTATTTAAATGTAACTAAGCAGAAGCATGGAACTAGGCGTTAATCGTCCATAACAGAAGCTTGTAACAAGGTAAACAATCCTACAATGTTTATAAACCTTTTTTTGGGGAAGTGAAATTATGTGTATTTCTACACGTCTCAGTTTTCACTTCATTGTTTCATAGGAACAGAAGTTCGGTAGAACTTTGAATCGCCAATTTATCTAGTAAACATGGTGGTGGTTAGAATCACAACAACAACAACATCCTCGGCCTACAACACGGTATTTAACTGCAGGTCCTTTTCTACGGATATATTTAGCGCGAAAGTAGGAAAATTCTTTTCGTTGTAGAAATAAAATTTTTTGCATTCACACCTCTCACAATTATATATTTACTTAGGTGTTACCATTTACTTTCTAATTGCTCTTCTTAAAAATTTTTCGAAAATGTTTTTAAAATTCAACCTTCTAGTAACGCCCCGTTCGATAGAGAGTGTAGTCAACCATGTGAGTCGGTTCTGAACTATGGACGACCTCAAGACAGATCTCAATTAATTCCACCTTCTCTCAGCAGATCGAACAGACAAAGGGGCTGTAACACCCTGAAAACAATGTATACATTGTGAGACGTTATTTGTTACACTGAATTAATACAATAAACAGTCACATAAATATTTTATATTAAATATACTGTATGGTTTAAATTGGTGTTGTGAAGTCAGTGTTAACTACCATGATAATAGATGTATTGAAGTTAGGGTTAATACCATGATAAAAGATGTGGAGAAAATAATGTTAATATCATCATAACAGATGTATTGAAGTTAGGGTTAATACCATGATGACAGACGTATTGAAGTTAGGGTTAATACCATGATAACAGATGTAGAGAAGTTAGTGGTAATACCACGATAATATAGCTGGTATAACGATGTATATAAACCTGAAGTAATGTCAATGTTTAAAATGTAGATAAAGGGAAAACCATATCTTCTTTCACTAACTAGTCTTTTCAGTGAAGATGCTGTTGTAAAAGCATGTATGAATAATTATAATGACGGAATCTATTTTAACAACAAAAACTCGAGAACAGAAGAAAGACAACACTTTGTCAATATAAAAAAAACTTTAAGTTTGAAAACTACCGAATTATTACTGTCGCTAACTCTCAATTTAAAGGTACTTTATATCTCAAGATAAAAAACAAAAAACGTTTTTAACCAACATGTGTTTACGAATACACTTTTGAACAGCACATGTTTAAAGATAACCTTCTAACCAACACGTGTTTACAGATAACGTTTTACATATAAAGTTTTAAACCAACACGTGTTTACAGATAACGTTTTACATATAAAGTTTTAAACCAACACGTGTTTACAGATAACGTTTTACATATAAAGTTTTAAACCAACACGTGTTTACAGATAATATTTTAACCAACACGTGTTTACAGATAATATTTTAAGCAACACGTGTTTACAGATAATATTTTAACTAACACGAGTTTTCAGATAATATTTTAACCAACACGAGTTTACAGATAATATTTTAACCAACACGAGTTTTCAGATAATATTTTAACCAACACGAGTTTACAGATAATATTTTAACCAACACGAGTTTACAGATAATATTTTAACCAACACGTGTTTACAGATAATATTTTAACCAACACGTGTTTACAGATAATATTTTAACCAACACCTGTTTTCAGATAATATTTTAACCAACTCATGTTTGCAGATAACGTTTTAACCAACAAGTATTTACGGACGAATGTTTAAGCAACACGTGTTTACAGATAAAGTTTTAACCAACACGTGTTAACAAATGATGTTTTAATTAATACATGTCTACAGATGAGGTTTTTAGCCAACACGTGTTTACAGATAATGTTTTAATCAACCAGTGCTTCCAGAACCATAGTTTGTTATTTTACTCGAGTGCTAATACAGTCGTGTTGATTTCAGACATAGAAGAAGATCTCTGAAAACTCCATGGCCTCTGGTTTTCGGGGGTAATGTTCCTCCTGGAAAGGCAACAATTGAAAGTTGACACCTTCTACCCTTACATCCAGCTTCCGGTCTCGAATGATGGGCGCAACGGCGTCTTCCGTCAGAGGTGCTGACGTCTTCAGCTGAATTTTGTACTGGATACCTTTATGGACAAAAAGGGGTTTATCGAACATAATTTTCACGTTCTTGCCTTTGGACAGGACAAAGTTTACAGTCACCTCCTCTCTGTCAGGTCGGTCCTCGTGTAATCCATACGTGCAACGCAGTAAACCCTCGACCTTAGGCTGCCTGACGGAGTAACAACTCACGTCCAGACGGACAGGGAGCCCCAAACCTACCACAAAAACCTCCGTGTTGGTAACTCTGAAGGTTACGCCAAAGATTCGCAGTGGTCGAACTGGGGTGTGGTAGGATAAGGCTTTGTAAAGACAACAAACAAAGAACTCTGGAGGACTCGTGCGTTTTGAAGTTTCTGTATTAATTCCTAACGGTACTGTTACTATTCCACTAATGGCGAGGTTCATAAATACTCCGAGACATTCGTCCTTGGAAAGGAGTCCCGACTTGGCTGGACCTTTACAGAATTCTTCTGGCGTCATAGCAAGGAACCGGATGTAGGGCAGAATTGAGTTCAATATATTGCGAATGTTGTCTACATCAGCTTCTACTGACCTTCTTTTGCACTCCTCTCTTGCCCACGTGCATGTGGCATTGTATAGGGGATATTCGCTGTTCAGATTGAGGTGTCTTCTGTGCACAATGGTTTCCAAAACGGACAAACTGACTTCAGAGAAACCTGGAGACGTAATCACGTGGTACGTCTGTCGATCGATAATGTTAAGACATTTGTAAACCAAGTGATGGGCTTCCATCGTATTGGCGAACTCCAAGACCTGGCAAACGCTTTGTGGTGTAACGTTTCGTTCAATGTAGGCGAAACATTCCCGAAGTAGATGAGGAAGAAGATATTTTTTAGCAGCAGTCGCTGTCAAGATGGCGTCCTCCACGGATTGGAGGTTTAGGGCGTCTGTGTAGGCATACCTATAACAATACAAGAGCAAGAATTCGCATGTAGATAACTGTAGCAACTCATAAAAACGGTGTCCGAATAATATGTAAACGCACTTTTTTTATTTGTTGTAAATACTTTGTTAATGCAATTTTCGGTCACATTGTATATATATCGATATATAATATAAGATAATACAAATACATTTATATAAATATAACATAAATAACCAAATACATTTATATAAATATAACATAAATAACCAAATACACACAAAACAGAGTAGAACATCTATGTAAATTAAAAAATTGATAAACAATAACAAACATGAATAAGTCTATATCTAACAAGCGTTAAATGGATCGATAAACAACAACAAACATGAATAAGTCTATATTTAACAAGCGTTAAATGGATTGATAAACAATAACAAACATGAATAAGTCTATATCTAACAAGCGTTAAATGGATTGATAAACAATAACAAACACGAATAAGTCTATATCTAACAAGCGTTAAATGGATCGATAAACAACAACAAACATGAATAAGTCTACATCTAACAAGCGTTAAATGGATTGATAAACAATAACAAGCATGAATAAGTCTATATCTTACAAGCGTTAAATGGATTGATAAACAATAACAAACACGAATAAGTCTATATCCAACAAGCGTTAAATGGATCGATAAACAACAACAAACATGAATAAGTCTACATCTAACAAGCGTTAAATGGATTGATAAACAATAACAAGCATGAATAAGTCTATATCTTACAAGCGTTAAATGGATTGATAAACAATAACAAACATGAATAAGCCTACATCTAACAAGCGTTAAATGGATTGATAAACAATAACAAGCATGAATAAGTCTATATCTTACAAGCGTTAAATGGATTGATAAACAATAACAAACATGAATAAGTCTACATCTAACAAGCGTTAAATGGATTGATAAACAACAACAAACATGAATAAGTCTACATCTAACAAGCGTTAAATGGATTGATAAACAACAACAAACATGAATAAGTCTACATCTATCAAGCGTTAAATGGATTGATAAACAATAACAAACATGAATAAGTCTATATCCAACAAGTATTAAAGTTCGTCAGTTCTTCTGAGTACTAAAAAAATATATATTAATGATAAATAAATGGGAGAACATGTTATAACATGTCAACCACATTACATCTGCCACAGCTATTCCCTACAAAGTATTTCGCTCAATACCAAGGTTCTTCAGTCCAGCTGGGATACAACAGACATATTAGTGGTTTGTTCAAGCATTGTGATAACATAAATAGCCTCTTAACCACTACTATATCTGTTGTATCCCATTCAGCCTGAAGAACCCAGGTAATGTACGATATGCCTCGTCGGCACTAGATATAACAAAATGTAACGTTGTTAATATATTGTTATAAAATCTTCTTTATTTTCCCTCATAAGTTATTAAAATTAGTAAACTTATTTAAAGTCATATTATTACAGATATCCATATAAGTAAACTTATTACTATATACTTTATACCATTAAAACGAAGTATATAAAGACATGGTGAAGTGGAAAAAATCATACATTGTACATACATAAGTATGTTGGTCCATCTAGGCTGTCCATCCACTGTACTAAACTCTAAAACACTCAAAGACGGCCGTTATCGTTCCAATATTTATCAACCCTTCCCTTAAACTCCCTTAAGTTAATTACATCGGCCATATTTGAAGACAACCCATTACAAAAGCCAACCACCCTGTTAGAGAAATAAAGCAGTCTTAGCTGAAAATGATTTTTTCCAGCCAAAATCTATATTAGTGTCCCCTGGTTTTACCACTCTCACCATTAAATAAGAAAACAGATGACGCATCAACTCCCTTAACAATCTGAAATTTCTCTGTCATATCCCCTCTAATTATACACTACATCGATCAGTCATATCCCCTCTAATTATACACTAAATTTCTCAGTTATATCCCCTCCAATTATACACAACATTTCTCAGTTATATCCTCTCTAATTATACACTACATCGATCAGTCATATCCCCTCTAATGATACACTACATCGATCAGTCATATCCCCTCTAATTATACACTACATTTCTCAGTCATATCCCCTCTAATTATATACTACATTTCTCAGTCATATCCCCTCTAATTATACACTACATCGATCAGTCATATCCCCTCTAATTATACACTACATTTCTCAGTCATATCCCCTCTAATTATACACTACATTTCTCAGTTATATCCCCTCTAATTATACACTACATCGAAACGTGGATGAATAATTCATGGCCGAAATTTCTATTTCCTTCACCACATGGATCCTTAATAATAAAACATCAAAAGGATATTTAATTTACCTGAGCAAGTTCTCGAAGCCGATTGGTGCTACGTCAGAAACACGGATGACTTTAGCTTTGTCCGCCATGTCTCCACAAAACATAGCCTCAAATACAGGACTGGCCATTGCAAGGAGCACTTTATGACCAACGTATTTTTTAGATGACGTCGACGGTCCCACTATGAAAGTGACGTCGCTAAAGGATTTAGTTTGAAGCAGACTTGAGGTTCTTTCTAGTACCCTTCCTTTATCCATCTTCCTATTGTTTACGTAGCCTACATACTGAAGAAAGATTTGCGTTAATATGAACTCTAGAAGAAGAAAATGAGTTTCTAAGTTTACATAATAGATTATTAGTTTTCCTATTAGTTTTCTTGTAGTGCCTGGCATGAGGGCCTCTAATCGCAATCTGAGGATCGCGGGTTTGAAACCCCGTCACCGAACATGCTCGCCCTTTCAGCGTTATAATGTGACAGTCAATCCCTCTATTCGTTGGTAAAAGGGTAACCCAAGAGTTGGCGGTGGATGGTGTTGACTGGCTGCCCTTCCTCTAGTCTATTTCTGCTAAATTAGGGCCGACTAGCGCAAATAGACCTCGTGCAGCTTTGCGCGAAATTTAAATCAAACGTTTTTTGCTGCTCTGTTTTTTTTTTAGATGACTGTGTTTGAATTGCTACTAAGAACTTGCTTAGAACCAAAAACAAGGTACCAAGAAGCCCTGCTTAGAACCAAAAACAAGGTACCAAGAAGCCCTGCTTAGAACCAAAAACCAAGGAACCCAATAACTGATGAAAGCTTTTCAAAAGTAGACTTTCCTTTTGGTGTAATTCGCCCCTGAAAAGAAAACCTTTACATTAAGTTTTTCTGTTGTTTGTTTGTTTGGATAACCGTACAAAGATACCTAAGGCTACCTGTGTTAGCAATCCCTAATTTTGAGCTAATGAACAAGAGGAAAGGCTGTTAGTCAACAGCACCAACTGCAGACTCTGTGGCTACTTTTCTCTGAACGAATAGTGGGATTTGAACATCATTCATATAATGCACCCACCTCCTTTAACGGGGCACAATTTATCTTGTTTTTTTGTGTGTTTTTTCTTTCATTTTGGCTGTAAATGACGAAAATGAGGAACTCGATTATCCATATCCGGAACGCTAAGTACTGGACCACGCTCGGCCCTCTTTCTTTAAAATTACTTTCATAAATAGTATTGGTGAACATAATAAATACATATTCTTATTATTTTACAATTATGTATCGTATTTTATTATTATGAGAATTATTAAGCTCTCAAAATTTCGCGAGATGTTATGGGATTATGGCCGAAAGTTTCGATAATAGTGAGGATACCCAACTGATGAATCCGTGCATTCTAATCATAACAGGTGTTTGTTTCGTGACATTGCATGTTCCTATTTAGACCGGTATATAAAATTAGCTACCGTATTTTTCGGAATATAAGACGCACCCTTATTTTGAAGACAAAGTT